TCTTTAACTTATCCATTACCGCTAATAACCACATGTTTTCAAATCCAGCATCATTTTAACATTCATTGATTTTGCAATATTTCTTTAAATAGTCCTTAAATTTTTTCCAATCTTCTTCCACTGTTTCTCTTCCCTGGTTTCGGATTCTGCTCGTCATCTCTGCCAGGCCCATATAGTCTATCACCTTCATCTGCCATTCTTCCAGGGTGGGTAAATCTTGTGTCTTCCAATACTTTGCGATGAGTATTCTTGCTGCTGTTGTAGCATACATGAAAAATGTTCTGTCCTTCTTTAACACCCCTTGGCCAACAATACCCAAAAGAAAGGCCTCTGGTTTCTTCAGGAAGGTATATTTAAATACCTTTTTCAATTCATTATAGATCATTTCCCAGAACGCCTTAATCTTTGGGCACGTCCACCAAAGGTGAAAGAATGTACCTTCATTTTCTTTGCATTTCCAATATTTGTTATCAGGCAGGTGATAAATTTTTGCAAGCTTGACTGGGGTCATGTACCACCTATAAATCATTTTCATAATATTTTCTCTTAGGGCATTACATGCCGTAAATTTCATCCCGGTGGTCCACAACTTTTCCCAGTCAGCAAACATAATGTTATGACCAATATCCTGAGCCCACTTAATCATTGCTGATTTAACCGTGGTGTTGATCACCATGTGATTGCCCCGTCCTCCCTCCAAGGTCAGCGAAGACTGTGGTGCCTCGAAGATTCACGGTCTTCTTGCTGCAACCTAAGCAGAGGATGGAGGGGCTCACAGCATTAACACCCCAAAATTGTTGCACACCACTCCAATCTTCCAGGGGTTCCAGGCATTTACCCATGGCTTGGCTTCCTTGGAATGAGGGTCAGTAGAAACGGTGGTGTCCTTAGGATATGTGATTTATTTAAATACTTCTCCCACGTCTCAGCTTTGTCATCCAGCATGGCTCTGTCTCTCTGGCTTTGTGTGCTCACCCCCCCCCCCCATTCTAAGTACCAGCCAGGGGAAGGGGAGGAGACACACCAGCGCCACGCATTGACCCTCTGGCACAGAATCTCTAATTAGGCTAAGAATGATGCTCTGCTATTCTATTCACAACCATTGCCTAGACCAGGCTTCCTCAGCCTCGGCCCTCCAGATGTTTTGAGACTACAATTCCCATCATCCCTGACCACTGGTCCTGCTAGCTAGGGATCATGGGAGTTGTAGGCCAAAAACATCTGGAGGGCCGAGGTTGAGGAAGCCTGGCCTAGACAAAGGGGTGTTGATGGAGTCCTTTCAGTTGCAAGCTACAGCCTTTATCTTACAATTGTCCAGCTAGTCCTTTATCAGTACCCTCTGTTCAATAGCTTTTTGCTTTATATTTCTATTTTTATTCTGTATAATTTTCAGAAGATGTTCTACAACATGGTGTTTTGATACTGTCTTTTTTATTCGTAATAATAATAATAATAATAATAATAATAATAATAATAATAATAATAAATTATTTACAAAAAACCTCCAGTTGCTCAGTTAGCAATGGAATCTTCCACCAGCTTTTAACCCTTACTGGATAGAGGACCCCAAGAACCAGAAAGAGGCTCAGGGATCACACAGGCTTTCCCCACCCGCAAACCTACATCATTATCTTGCCTTGACAGCTTTGGATCCAGCACAGAACAAGTCAAGCCTATGTCCCCAGCTCTCCCGGCCTCTCTGCCCTTCCAGCTCCCTGAAAAGCCCACCCCAGGCTTTGGTCTTGTTGCTGCTGCTTCACTTTCCTGCGGTTAACTGCAACCCAGCACATCCCTTTGAAGCAAATCAGAGCCCTGAAGTGGTCCCCTGGCCTTCGTCTCCAAAGAACTCGCATGAGTGAGTCTCCAGCCTCCCCCAAACTCAGAATAGTACTATGGTCACACACACACATCTAATGCAACAGACTCACTCCATTTAATGGAAATGCCCCTCAACTGGGGGGCCCAGACCCTTCAAATATTTTATGGGGAGGGCGAAGGGACCTCGGACCCTAGAAGCCATGACTCCCACCCTACCAAGAATCCTGGGAACCATAGTTTGCCCCTCACAGAGCTACATTTCCCAGCACCATTATTCTTGGGGGAAGCCATGTGCTTTAAATGTCTAGTAGGGCCTTAATTGCCCTAATACGTAAGTGGATGAATGAGCCAGTTGTAAATTCTGCTTAAATTCTGCTATGGGTTTTTGTAGACCAGACATTTGCTTTGTAATAAGTGGTTGGCTGGAGATCAGCTGCATGAACTGCATGGCTGGTGGGACTGTGTGAGAGTGACATGGGTGTAGCCAGGGGGAGTGGGGGGATCTGTCCCCCAGTCAAGTAAATAAATATACTTAACTAAAAATAGAAACTGCAGAAAGATTTTGACAGATTTTTCTGAGCTCTTGGGGTCAAAAAGAAAGTAATTTAAAACAACTGTTGTTGAGACATTTCCATAGCTGTCAAGTGTCCCTTATTTGAAGGGACAGTCCCTTATTCCAGCGCCATGTCCCGCTGCTGTCCCTTATTGATGGATGTCCCTTAAATGTCCCTTAAATGATGTCCCTTAAATTTCAAAGGAAGCAGCTCCTCTCCCTCCCTCCCTGCCGGCCAGGGAGGAGGGAAGCTCCAACTGTGTTGCTTGGCTGTGTTGCTCACCCAATAAGAAGTCTAAGAACGACTGGGGGGGTGGAGCTTGCATGCCTTGTGTGTGGCTAGTTAATGCAAGCTGAGGAGGTTTTCGAATTTTGGACGCCATTTTGTTGCACGTGCTGCTGCAAACTTTGCAGTGCAAAGCCAGGCCGGGGAGCCATCTTAAGTTGAGGCTGCATAGGCCTTGTGGTGCATGTGATTCAGATTCTATTCAGTTGAACCTCTGGTTACAAAGTTGGTTGGACAGTGTTCTCGAAGCTACCAGCATGACTTTGACCAGACTGCAGGAGGACAGGAAGACTGGAGTGCCTGGAACAGGTGAGGCTGCAGGTCCCTTATTTTGGCTGCTGGTCCCTTATTTTCAAGGCTGCTGGTCCCTTATTTTCAAATCTGTAAGTTGACAGCTATGCATTTCATTCCAAATCTCCTAGACAGAGCCAGACGGAGGATGGCGAAAGGAGGGTGTCCTCCCCTCCCCCATAAATCCTGGCTACACCCCTGGAAAATGAGACTTATATCCTGAAGATGTACTTGGGAGAGGGTATGAGGGGAGATGGGTATCAGTGCAGCTTCTCTTTTAGTTTTTTTGGGTCAGTTGTAAATTATGCTGTTTTGTAGGGTTTTATTGTATTTTTGCACCTGGTTTTTTCTATAATGTATTTGTATGTTTAAGAGAATATTTGTTTTCCTATTCATCATGTTTATTTAAATGCACTTTGTATTTGACCTTCCTCTGTAATGTTTCATTTTGATATTTTGTGATTTTTTTATTTGATGCTTTAAATTTATCTGTAAACTGATTTGAGGTTATTACGGTATTTTCTAAAATATTAAGCATTATAGAAACAATTTAAATAAATTAGTTACATAGTCCATGGAGTTTCTTGGCAAAGCCATGGTTTTTCCAGTAGTGATGTATGGAAGTGAGACCTAGACCATAAAGAAGGCTGATCGCCAAAGAATTGATGCTTTTGAATTCTGGTGCTGGAGGAGACTCTTGAGAGTCCCATGGACTGCAAGAAGATCAGACCTATCCATTCTTAAGGAAATCAGCCCTGAGTGCTCACTGGAAGGGACAGATCCTGAAGCTGAGGCTCCAAGACTTTGGCCACCTCATGAGAAGAGAAGACTCCCTGGAAAAGACCCTGATGTTGGGAAAGATGGAGGGCACAAGGAGAAGGGGATGACAGAGGACGAGATGGTTGGATAGTGTTCTCGAAGCGACAAACATGAGTCTGACCAAGCTGCGGGAGGCAGTAGAAGACAGGAGTGCCTGGCATGCTCTGGTCCAGGGGGTCACAAAGAGTTGTACACGACTAAACGACTAAACAACAACAGTTACATAGTAACAAAATGGGTCCTGCAGCACATCTAGGAATAACTGTGACTCCTGAGGAGTGTACGGACCATAATTTTAAAGAACATTCAAAGCACTTTCTTCCCCTCAGAGAATTCTGGGCACTGTAGTTTACCCCTTACATAATTCAAATTCGCAGCCATCCTTAACAAACTACAGTGCCCAGAATTCTTTGCAGGAAAAAAGTGCTTTGAATGTACATTAAAGCCATAGCGTACAAGCACAGAGCCTAGATTCCTCTCTCTCATACACCTCCCCCATTTCTGTCGCGGTCATTAAGAAAAATCCATAAACATCTAAGAACTGTGTTAGCTAATTCATTAATGGTGCCTGACTACCAGCTCAGCTTCAAAGTGCTGCTTTTAATGATATGCAAACTCAAGACTTGTCAATATCCGTTCCATGCACAAATTCAATTATCCCATTTTCATTAACTTGGACTTGTCTGAAATAGCTTGGCATGAAATTTGGAGTAAGGTTCCGATCTTCCCTGCATGGCCAAGTGCAAAAGCTCTTAACTATGGTTATCAGGTTATCAGCTTTGCTTATGCATGAGCACATCAGCGGATGAGGAGGTTTTCATGCTTGCTGTAGCTGCACCTATTTGACTTGACAATTCCCCTATCTTGGTGTGGGCAGCCAGGAAAGGGGCAGGGCTGTGGTTATAGAGCGAGCTTCCAAGCACGGAACGGCAGGTTCAGGGCCCTGCTGGCAACCCACGGCTCCTGGCTGCATCTGTCAGAATCCAGGCTGTCTTCTTTTGCAAGGAGTCTGTGCAAAGCTGCCCAGCTGCTTCTGTCTCCGGCAGGCTCTGTTGCCGAGTGGAGAGGATGCTGGAGCTGCTCGCGCTGGTGGCTCTTTTCCCTTTCCTTAAAGGTGAGTGACTGTGGACGGCTAGGGGAGAGGACTGCGGGTGGGGTAATTGCAAAGGGTAGACTACACTTATTGGATTCAATAAGTTTGGGAATCCGTAATGTAAGATTCTTTCTCATTCTGGAGGGTTGTGCAGCTGGATTATTCTTTTTTTTATCTCTCCTTTGAAAAAGCAAAATGGTTGATTGGGAAGGCCATACATTTCTTGTAATTTCCCAGGGGAATGTGTTGTGTGTGTTTCAGTTTGACAATGTGGTAAGGCCAGAAATGGTGACATCCTCACCCTGCAGAATATATGTGAGATAATAAGGGACCTAACCTCTGACAAACTCAGCCTTTAAGCTTGTTTTGGTAGCAGGGAGGGTGGGGTCATCTTTAGCAGAGTGGTGGGTGCTGGAAAGAGGGAAAACTCAAGAGGAGAACAAGCCAACTAGGAGAGGCGGGAGGCGAGAGAACAAAGGAAGCCATATGAAAACTTCATATTTATGCCAAGGAAATCATACATGAAAATAAGGGCTGGGGTTTTTTTAATAAAAAATCTAAAATGCTAACGTTCCAGGTTGTCTCACTTAAGAGGTTATCTCTGAAGGACTTAAAGTTATATATAAATTAACTCAGAATTAGTAATTTCCTTCTTTTTGTAAGGAAATATCACTTTCCCAAGCAAACCAATGAAATATTTTAAACCTTGTACAGCCTGGACGTTTGGAGCACTGAATGTTACATGTCTGCAATATGTAAAAGGTACCTGAGGATAAAAATTCATGCTGTTTTTATTGACCAGTTGGGAACATGTCTGTTTTCCTGTCTCCTGGAATATATACAAGGAGTGAAACTTCTCTCCAAACAAATGTAGTATAAGCTTTCAAATTTCTGTTCTGCTGTTGAGTAGCTGTTGATTGAGGGGTTATGTGGCAGGTTTTCACAAAGGCAAGATTTTGAAGCAAAATATTAGATGTGCAAAAATAGATGGCTTTCAAAGCAGAGGTTATAGGCAACCCACCCATTCCTAGGATGGCCTGTTAAATCCACAGGTCTGTCCAACCATAAATAAATTGTGCTTTGTTACTTGATTGACTGAACATAGAATCACAACCAAATTGCACGTGCTCAGAGGAGCACAGCCACCTTTGCAAATGGGAGTCCAGAGTCTGCATTGCATTTTGAGCAGCCCCTAAATTGTGTCGGTTTGAAGAAAGAGCAAAACGAAGCGTGCCCCTCTTTTTCTCTAATCCAAGATGGTAGCAAACATTGTTGTACCACTGTAAGTTTGCTTTGATCTGCCGTCTTTGCACAGCAGATTATGTTCCTCTGCATTTCTGCTCATGTTTCAAATGTGGGGAATTTGTTTTAAGAGGTTCTGTTGCCATGTCTATCAGCAGTGCACCCTTGGCTAGAAACGTTTCAAAATATTTTTAACAAATCATAGCGAGCAATACGAAATGGTTAGAACACATCGCAGAAATTTTAACAGTGGTGTGAATATAATGCAAAATCCATGACCCCCCCATGCACTTTGGAACAGCAGTTCATGGGGCAAAGGGGCTGTTGCAGAGGAAAACCAGCCACATCCCCGTGCTCAGAAGCAATCTGTGCATGCTCACACACGGCCCCCGGCCACAAAGCAGTGTTGATCAGTTCTACCGTCAGAACATGAGTTACACATGCCACGGGCATTTTGATCAATCTTTTGTTTTAGCCTTAATAGAAAATATTCAGTCTAGAGCATTTGAACTCCGGGGGGGGGGGGAGTATATATATATTTCTTTTGAGGGGGTGATGCTGCAGATATTTCTTTAGCTTCCTCCATGAATTGCTTTCATTTATGACTGTAAACCCCAGGATACTAACATGATCTTAGCTCACTCACACTTTTTTTTTGTAGGAAGGAGTCTCCTCTACTAAAATAAATAAGCCAGTGCCCATATGCACAGGTGCATGGTTTTAACTGCAGAGATTTTAGGGGAAAAAATTAAAATAGTAGCAGTAGTTCTGAGTTTTTAAATAGTTAGTGGCTGAGAATATGTATCTAGAATTAATTTTGGTAGCAGAGCATCTTCAGTATTGACAAGCAACCACTGTATTTTTATAATCTTAGAATGGTAGTTGGAAGGAACCCTGCAGGAATACGCAGCTGTACTTTGTTCATGCTGTATGAATTAATGCAGTTAGTTGTGGTTAATTATAATGGATTTCTGTGAATTGTGTCAAATGTTAATTCGACATGGCATACTCGAGCATGCTTTAATCACTTTATAAAATAAAAATCCCCCCCCCCCAAGAAACATCAACTCTTGGACAAACACGGGCTGTGTCCAATGATTCTCATTACATCCCCACTAAAAGGCACATTTTAGCTTACAGAATGCAATTCAGCAAAGTTGCTTTTGTGAGGTCAGTAGCTGTTGACAATATTCGGAACAAGTAAATCAACAGCACTTTCCATGATTTAATTTAGGAAAGGAAAGGAAAGGAAAGGAAAGGAAAGGAAAGGAAAGGAAAGGAAAGGAAAGGAAAGGAAAGGAAAGGAAAGGAAAGGGGAAACTCAGCTTTAATGTTTCCAAACTCACTGCATCCCCACTGCTGGCTAGATATGCACATTATACTGCTTAAACACACCACATCCAATGCCATTCTTCTGTAACTGCATGGGCACCAAGTAAATTAAATTGGGTATCTCTCCATCTAAATAATAAACCCCAGGCTACTTTCTCTGGTTAGCTGCCTGTCTTCTGTGTCCATGGAGTTTGTTGGTGGAGGAGGAGGCACACTAATAAGGGCAGTTGCAGAAGGGTCATGGCTTGTTATTTACTTTTTCACCAAAAATCGTAGAATTGTGGAGTTGGAAGGTGACGCCAAGGGTCATCTAGTCCAACCCCCTGCAATGCAGAAATTCGAGCTAGAGAATCCCTGGCAGACAGACACCCAACCTCTGTTTAAAAACCTTCAATGCAAGAGAGCTCAGCACCTTCAGAGGTAGACCGTTCCACCATAGACCATTTCCTCCACAACCAAGCCTTTGGGCTTTCTCTATCTGGGAGCTTTGAGAAGTGGGTCGGAAGTTTTCAATGTATTTCTTTTTCCCCTTGGTTTTTATATCTATGGAGGTTGCCTGTGTGGTTGCAAGTTGCCCCAGGCAAGATGCAGAGACTAGCAAATTCAATTAATAATGATGGTGATGATGTCAGTTCTGTCCCTTTGTTCTGACCCCTTCTCAGACAGAGGAAGGGACAGGGGTAAAGGAAGCCCTTTGCATCCAGAATGTTCCAGCTCCAATCCCCAGCATTTTCAGTTGCAAGGATGCTCTGTCCTGCCACCAAATGCGTTTCTGGAAGCTGCAGGAGAGTGAGGGCTCTTGCACCTGATTTCTGCTTGGAATCTGGTTGGCCACTATGAGGACAGGGTGCTGGACTGGAGAGGGTCCCATGGCTCTTCACAGGTTCTTTTATTCTTAAGGTTCTGTAGTAGATTATGGGAAGGACTCTGCTAGGGTTGCCATATTTCAAAAAATGAAAAGTTTTGAAGCTATTTTTTTTAGGAAATTTGCCCCAAAATCAACACTTCCAATATGGGCTGCCATATACCTGGGTTTCCCTGGACATTTTTAACCGACTTTTGAAAATTCCGCCCAGATGCCATTTTCGATGGGTGAATCCCAGCTCTGTCCTAGCAATTCCAGACATATGGCAGCCCTACTCTGACCAAGCCAAGAATGTTTCAGAAATCCAGGCCAAATGTCGTGAGGTTTGTATGTGCTCCAACCCTGCCCTCTTTTAGGTTTCCATTGTTTCGAAGCTGAACACCGACTCTACAATGAGCTATTTGCCAATTACAACAACATCATCAGGCCTGTGGAGAATGTGTCTGACCCGGTCATGATTTCGTTCGAGGTGTCCCTATCGCAACTCGTAAAGGTGGTGAGTAGGTTGTGAGGTACTCACTCTGGTGCTCAAAGCCCTAAACAACTCAGGCCCCAAATACTTGAAAGCCTCTTCCTTCCCTTTAAACCCTCAGGTACTCAGCAGAGGGGGCCCTCCTGGTAGTTCCTTCCCCCTCAGGGTTATTTTGGGGAGTGGAGGGTCTTCTCCGTGGTGGCCCCTAAGCTGTGTATGCCCCACAGAGGGTCGTCTGGTGCCTTCCCTTGCTTTTGACACTTGAGGTCTGTGTTTTTAGGATCCACCTTACTTTTATGGCTGTAAGTTGTTGTTTTTTTAATGTTTTTAATGTTGTGTTTTAATGTTTCAACCTGCCTTGGAGTGAAGAGTGGATTATTATTAATAATGGTTATAGTAATAACTGACCTGAAAGTGAAGGAACCCATCTGTGCCATTTCCCCCTGGGTTGCAGAGCAACCCTCCAGCCAGCTCAAGAAAAACGGCTGAGCCCCTCTCCATCCCCAGAGACTTCCAGGCGGACGACAAAACCAAAGCATTGTTGAATTACACTGGGAATGTAACTTGGATGAGGGGTTTCAAACCCAGCTATGACTTTTCTTTTCCCAGGACGAAGTGAACCAGATTATGGAGACTAATTTATGGCTGAGACATGTAAGTAACACCCCCCCCAAAAAAAACCCCGCCCCTACCACAGAAGGAACGCTTTAGGATTTTTGTAAAACAACAACAACCAAAAGGCATTGGAAGTATTTTCAGTTATATATGTAGATTGCACACATACCATTGAAAGCACATAGCTTCCCCCAAAGAAACCTGGGAACTGTAGCGTTAAGGGTGCTGAAAATTGTAGCTGAGTGTCCTATATTGTGGGGATAGCTGGGGAAGGGGAAGAGATAGGAAGAGATAGTTACATGCAGACATACATGATGATGACACACCTGTGTGTTCAAGGAACCCATTGAAGAAGGAAACCCCGAAGGCTACAGCCAGAGTCAGAAACAGGAAACACCTTTTATGCTCTGCTGCCACCTAGTGGTTGTCTGTCTTGTTGGCATTAGATAAATCATAACAGCATCCTGGGGAATGAAGAAATCCCACAGAAATGGTGTGAGGAATTCAGAGATCTCATTGGGTGCCCTCCCCTTTGAGAAAACAGAAAATGAAGAGCAAATCGTAAACTATAGACCCCCCCCGTTTTATAACATCATCTAGGGGTGCCATATTTCAAAAAGTGAAAATCCAGACACAAGACATTGAGCTCCCCCCCTCCCCAAGATCTACTTTTAAGGAAATTCACCAAAATCTACACTTCTGACATGGGTTGCATCCAGATTTTCCCAGACATTTAAGCAATTTCCGTTTCTGACAGCCAAATCCTGGCAATGTCCAGGAAATTCTGGACATATGGCAACCCTACATTATGAGGCAGATTTAGCCAGCCACTGGAAAATGTGGGGCTTTTCATCGCTCAAGGTGACCCATCATTCCTTGCATTTCTGATGTTTACCCTGCGAATGCTTTTCTTAGGCAGCCAAAACAGCATCACCCTTGCAGAAGGGGAAATGAACAGGGGAATGAGGCGGGGGGTCGTGTTGTGAGGTTTGCAGATGTACAAAAAGACATTCCCACAGCTTATCAGGGATGGAATGTTGGGTGTGTTTGTGCAGAAGGAAGAGAAAGCTCACATCCACACCACATTTAAAGAACATGGCTTCCCCCAAAGCATCCTGAGAACTGTAGTTTGATAAGGGTGTTGGGAATCATAGCTCTGCAAGGGATAAACTGTGGTTCCCAGCATCATAGACAGACAGACAGACAGACAGACAGACGGACGGACGGATGGATGAGCACTTTGGGTCTAATTTTAGTGTTGTTTTTACATTTGATTTTCACATTTCTTTTTTTTTCTTCTGGTTTTATTCTGTAAGTTGTATTGAGACACATAAACACACTAAATGAATGAATGAATGAATAAAATGAATGAATGAATAAGCTATAATAGGAAGTTGTGGGAAAATTCTAAAATACCGCTTGATTTCCCTTCTTCTTCATTGATTAGATGTGGAACGATTACAAGCTGAAATGGAATCCAGAGAAGTATGGAGGTGTTCAGTTTATTCGAGTGCCATCGCAGAAGATCTGGAAGCCAGATATTGTGCTATATAACAAGTAAGATTATACAGTCTGGTCTATTCTTAAAAGATTACTTTATGTTTTAGCATCTTTTCCTTTCCAAAGGTGTAGTAAAATCCATGGTATGGAAGCTGTGTCCCACCAGCATGGCCACTGGGTGGATGAAGTTGTAGTCCATCATCATCTAGAGCAGCCGTAGGCAAACTCCAGCCCTCCAGATATTTTTTGAGACTACAATTCCCATCATCCCTGACCACTGGTCCTGTTAGCTAGGATCATGGGAGTTGTAGTTCCAAAACATCTGAAGGGCCAGAGTTTGCCAATGCCTGATCTAGAGAACCACACATTCCCAGTCTCTGGTTTACACTGAACATCTGGCACTGGTTTAGACAGAGTAAGATCATTGGTGTCTTGCCCAGCCCAGTACTCTGACTAGGAGTGGCTCGTTACCCAAGACCCACATAACCAGAGACCCAAGAGCATCCACAAGCAAAACGCAGGTTCTTATCCCAAGGCACAGCACTCTCCCTGTTAAATGCCCATTTGGAAAGGAAGGAATCCCCATATAAGCTGCTCATGCTATTTCTCAAAAGAGTAAATGCATCCTTAAACATAGAACCATAGAGTTGGAAGGGACCCCAAGAGTCATTTAGTCCAACCCCCTGCAATGCAATAATCCCAGCTAAAGCATCCAGGACAGATGGCCATGTGACCTCTGCTTATACACCTCCAAGGAAGGAGAGTCCACCACCTCCCAAGGGAATTTGCTCCGCTGTGGAACAGCCCTCAACCTCCCAAAGTTCTTCCTAACGTTTAATTGGAGTCTCTTGTCAGTTGAATCAATTGGTTTGGGTCCGAACCTCCAGAGCAGCAGAAAACAAGCTTGCTCCCTCTTCTATGCAACAGCCTTTTAGATGTTTGAAGATGGCTATCATATCCCTCTCATTCTCATCTTCTCCAGGCTAAACGTTCCCAACTCTCTCAACCATTCCTCATCAGGCAAGGTTTCCAGACCAAGCCTTGGTATCACCTTTTCTCCTTCATGAAGTAATTTTGTGCACCACCACCCCTTTTGCCACTTCTTGCCATTTCACAAATCTCAGGGATCATCAGACTTTCCAGAGACCATAGCACAGGATATCTGACTCAACTAAGTCACAATCACACAAGGGCCACTAGAAGGGCTTCACTACAAGCTGCTTGCAAAAGTCAAAATCGGAAGCGGCAAAGTGATCATCTGAATCCACTCCCTTGCTAGCCTTTTCTTCTTATATTGGACAAATCCAACCCACATCAGACTTTCTTGTCTCAGTAGTGTGTCTGTGTTATGGACTGGCACAACCTAAGCAGTCCAGACAGAGAGAGGCTGGATGGTCGTCTGTCATGGTTGCTTTAGTTGTAACTCCAGCATTGCAGGGGGCTTGACTGCATGACTATTGGGATCCCTCCCAACTCTAGGATTCCTGTAGATGAATCTCAATGCCCCCCTTTCCCTTCCATTGTTTCTCTAACATGGTGTCTTCTACTGAACTGAAGAAATGAAATGTGTAATGAACTTGGAACAGAGTATGGCAGAGGTAGCATTACATTTCTAATCTGGTAGCTTCCAATAACAGTAAAGAACAATACAGTCGACGCTCAGGTTGCGAACGTGATCCATGTGGGATGCACGTTTACAACCCGCAGTGGCGCGTCTGCGCACATGCAGGTTGCAATTCTGCGCATGCGCAAAGTGCGATTTAGCGCTTCTGCACATGCGCAACCACCGAAACCCAAGAGTAGCCCATTCCGGTACTTCCGGGTTTCGGCAGTCCGCAACCTGAAACATCTGTAACCCGAGGTATGACTGTAATTGCTACATTGGGGCACTAATTGAATCCCATCAATATACACTAGGAGGCATCAAGAAAGAGGCTGTGTGTACCCCGTGCAGAACAGCCTTCCCTCCAGGGCAGCGTTTCCCAAACATCTGATAGATATGATGCTAATTATGTTCAAGCGATTCACTGTATTGTGTTTTTAAAAGGTAAATTGCAGCAGGATCAAGGATGCTGCCTGCAGGGAGGCGACCTTTGGCCCCCTGCTTCAGTTCCAACAAGAGTCTGAAGACACTGCATGCAACGGGAGGAACACAGTTCCAGAGGGTGGGGGATAAATGCAATGCGGTTTAATAATTTCTGAAACAAGGTGAGAGCTGAAACACAGCCAACCTTCAGCATTAAAAATTATCCAAATTTTCCAATATAGTTCTCCAGCCAAATGAGAGGTGCAAAAATGCACATGCTGGGGTGAAGTGTGTGTTAAAATGCATTAGCGAATATAACACCCAACAGTGCATTATATGAGGGGAAATTTGCTTTGCAAATTAGGAGAAATTCACACTAAAATGCTGCTGAATTTTCTTGAGGGCATTTTAAAAAAAGGAATTCACAAAGTGATGTGACAATGTGGAGAACACAACTTTTGGGTCTGTTGTTTCCCCCACTCCCCAGTGCTGTTGGAGACTTCCAGGTGGACGACAAAACCAAAGCATTGTTGAATTATACCGGGAATGTGACTTGGATGCCACCAGCTATTTTTAAGAGCTCGTGTAAAATAGACGTGACATACTTTCCATTTGACTACCAGAACTGCACCATGAAGTTTGGCTCCTGGTCCTACGACAAAGCCGAGATTGACTTGGTTCTCGTTGGCTCCACTATGAACCTCAAGGACTATTGGGAGAGCGGAGAGTGGGCCATCATTAAGGCACCAGGCTACAAACATGACATCAAGTACAACTGCTGTGAAGCCGTGTACACAGATATCACCTATTCCCTTTATATCAGGCGGCTGCCCTTGTTTTACACCATCAATATGATCATCCCATGCCTCTTGATCTCCTTCTTAACCGTGTTGGTGTTTTATCTGCCTTCCGACTGTGGTGAGAAAGTGACGCTGTGCATCTCGGTCCTTTTGTCCTTGACTGTTTTCCTACTGGTGATAACAGAGACCATTCCTTCAACCTCTCTAGTGATTCCACTGATTGGGGAGTACCTCCTCTTCACCATGATATTTGTCACTCTCTCCATAGTCATTACGGTGTTTGTGCTCAATGTACACTACAGGACACCAAGGACGCACACCATGCCTGAGTGGGTGAAAACCATCTTCCTGAACTTTCTCCCCAGGATCATGTTCATGACCAGGCCCACCAGTGAATCAGATGACGGTGGCCAGGACTCAAAGCCGTCTTACAACACGGAGCTCTCTCCCTTGGACTGCTTTGGCGGCACAGAGACCAGGTGCTACAAAGACAGCCTCCCGTGCCAAGAAACGACCTGTGTTTGCTACCAACACCAACACATAAAATATGTCAAGGTGAACAGCAACCTGACCCAGAGCTCCAGTTCTGAATCTGTAGACGCTCTGCTTTCGTCTTTGGTAGTATCGCCAGAAATGAGAGATGCGATCGAGAGCATTAAATACATTGCAGAAAATATGAGAATGCAAAATGAAGCCAAGGAGGTATGGGCAAACTTTATTAATTATTCAATCAACATGCACCACACTTTAAATCGGGGCTAGGGAACCTTTGACCCTCCATATCAGCCTTTCTCAATCTTGGGTCCTCAGATGTTGTTGGACTACAACCACCATCATCCCTAGCTAGCAGAACCAGTGGTCAGGGATGATGGGAGTCATAGTCCATTAGCATCTGTCAGGTGAAAGGTTCCCAAGTCATGGTGCAGAGCAGGGCAATAAACCTGTGTGCCCAGGGAGCAAAACATCAGGCTGCAGGGGTGAGGAACCACAGGAAGCTATCTTGTACCAGGTCAAACTATTTGTTCCCCTAGCCCAGTACTATTTCCTTCGTCCTCACCATTTCAGATTCTGGGCTCCCTTATCACTTGCAACTCAGTCCACCGCACACATGGAGTTCACTGTCACAAGATGTACTGACTTGGATGACACACTACTTACTACTTACTCATTGTAAGAACATAGGAAGAGCTTGCTGGATCAAGCCCATCTAGTCCACTATCCTGTTCTCACAGTGGCTGACCAGACGCTTCTGGAAACCTGCAAGCAGGACCCGGGCCCAAGAGCCCTCTCCCCTCCTGTGGGTTCCAGCAACTGGGATCCAGAAGAGGCAGAGCACAGCCATCCCGGCTAACAGCCATCCATAGCCCTCTCCCCCATGAATTTGTCCAATCTTCCTTTAAAGCCTTCACTGCCTCTTGTGGGAGCAGAAGTTCATAGCTGAACTTCTTCTCTGTCCTGAATCTTCCAACATTCAGCTTTGTTAGATGTCAGGTTCGAGTGCTGTGAGGGAGAGACATTTCCTGCCCCTTCCTCCATGTCACACATACTTGAAACACTTCTATCATGTTGCCTCCTGCTCAGCTTTTCCTCCCGGTCCCCCACGCTGCCTTTTCCCATAAGGCGGCTGCTCCAGCCTCTCGATGCTTTTGGCTGCTCTTTTCTGAACCTTTTCAGGCTGATGGTCCTGGTGAGGAGACGCTGCAATACCAGTCCAGCCGTGGAACAAATTCACATGGTGGATTTTGTTATATCAAATCACAAATACTGTATTGAACTTTCATACTACCACAATAGGTTTATAAAAGTTGTACCTGAATTGATAAAAAAATATTTTTATTTTCCAGACTCAAGATGACTGGAAATACGTCGCCATGGTCATTGATCGCATTTTCCTGTGGGTATTTATTCTTGTGTGCATTCTGGGGACAGCAGGACTATTCTTGCAACCGCTAATGGTTGGAGATGAAGTATAGGCGATATTCCCCTGTAAAAAAATCTATTTCCTGTTTGCTGTCCAAACGTCTTACCTGCTCTCTCTTTATGTTAAAGTAATTATTCCTATGTCTTTCAGTAGTGGAGTAAAGATACTTAAACATTAGGCTAGATTCAGCCACCTTCCATTTAAATATAAAAATACTAATGATTTGTGTAACACTGTTATGAAGTACTGTGTAAGACTGGAAAATTTTAATTTCTAGGAAGAATGCCAGTTTTCTTCTTATATTCACTCCTAGAAGAAAATGAGATCTGAGTGGGTGTCAGAGCCTCAAAGAAATGCAGTTCTACACAAGTGGGGAAAGTTTGTTCTACTGCCCTAAGCCAACCAAAGATATTGCAATAGCTTTAACAATGTGGGTCACTGCCACAACTCTAGCCATATCACTGATGGTGTGTCAAGAGTGAAGTCCTCCTCTCTAAACACACTAGGACACTGGGTCACTATGAAATCAATTCCTCAACTCAAAAAGGAAGGATTTCTTCACACACACACAGCTAATTTATGGAAGTCCTGGCCATAGGATGTGATACACACATCTATAGGGAAGCCAATAAAAATAGCAAAACACCCGGCAGCTGCCTTTTTTCACTGCGCCTCTCGTGGCAGGATCAACCAGAACTTGAAGCACAGGACATGAGGTCCTACAAGGCTGAAGTTATTCGCTAACTAAGATATAGTCCTCGTGGCTTCTGAGCTCGCCAGCAAATGAGGAAAAGCAAGTATCTTGTTTGTTTCTTTTTAAACCTACCGAAACTCCTTTCATTTCCCAAGTCAGGCATTCACAACTTCAGGTCATTTGACCAGTTGGAACATGGCAAGCCATGAATGACACACGACTTAGGCAACCCACTTTCGCTTGGGCCTAGAAACAAGCTCATTAGCCATTGAAGTGTCAAGGAAAGGAAGTTATTCTCTTCCTTAGAGGGACTCATCAGAAAAGAGGTCATTATAGATGAGAAACAGAACCAAACCTATGCGCACTTTCAGTCAGACTTGCTTTTCTTACTCCCACACTGTTGAGTTCAGGCATTGCAAAATGAAAAGAGCCATATCAAGCAAACTGAGGACACTCAGAAGAGCTGTTAGCCATTGATAAAATGAGGGTCTTACTATTCAGGGGCAGCATCCCTTTGCTGACCAGAACAGGGGGCAGCCATCTCCATGATGCCTTGCCTGTGAGCTTCACGGGGATGCCTAGCTGTACAAGATGGAACAAGGCAATTCACCTGTTCTTGGCTGTTGCTGTTTTTACATTCATCTGGCAAACTCCAAACAAATCCTGCTATGTAGCATAAGATGTGTGCAAAGAGGGATTATTGTTTAGGCAAGATGGTGGTTTAGTCAGCCAGCACCTGAAAGGCTTTTCCATTACCAGACCTAAAACATTGCAGACACAGCAAGACCTCTTCCACATCTCTGTTTGCCTTGCTTTTCCCTGGGAAAACATTGATGCTTTACTGCTGAACTGGAAAAAAAGAAGATACAGTGGTACCTCAGTTTAAGAACAGCCCTGTTTATGAACTATTCGGAAGTAGTGTCCCGGTTTGCGAACTTTACCTCAGTCTAAGAATGGAAGCCGAATGGTGGAAGGCACTGGCAGCGGGAGGCCTCATTAGGGAAAGCGCGCCTCGGTTTAAGAATGGACTTCCGGAACAGATTAAGTTCATAAACTGAGGTACCACTGGAGTTTGGTTTTCCACAAATTTCCGTTTGTCCCAATTCAGCGGGAAACGGTGGGGTTTCCCAGGAGAAAGCAGCGGGGCAAATGCAAAACTGCTTGAGCGCTTGCTTTCTAGACACGAGACAAGTGGAAGTGTGCTCAAGTCCCAAGTACAGTAATGGCTAGTATTAGAGGGAACAGATCTGCAGTTTGCAGGTAGGATTTGGACTGTCTGCACAGAGCAGAGAACTGTTTTGATGGATTTTGGCAAAAAGTAACTATAGATGTCATCCCAACTGCAAACGACATTCTGATCCAAGCCACCTATGGAAATCACCAGTGGAGCCAAGACTGGGTCTGTGTCCCCCTGGCTTGCTTTGGAGCGCCTCTAACAAAATGTAATTTGGTTATGTATCTACTGAATACAGTGCTGTAAAGAGAACAGAAGGAATAGACTCATTGCATGTACATTTTACTTCATATACTATAAAATAAACTTCATTCACCAATAATGAAAATAGGGTCTTTCAAAGCCATTTTTTTTAAATCCCAGATTTTGGCTTTGATGCTGTATTAGCCCCATTTTGTGGGAGTGGCATAGAATGAATGGTGGGGGTGGGCTTTGCCACAGTGGAAGAGTCACAAGCTTATTTGCTCCCTTAAGGAATATGAGGAATTGCATTCATCAGCACTGAAGGAGCAGTCCAGTCTTTACAAATCCACAATAAAGAGCTTGGACTAAGAAACTCCCGCCAGGCTCCCCAGGCTTGCGGATATTTCCCCGAAGCCCGGGGCGCGCTGCTCAGCTTCGGGATGCAGCTTCGGGACGCAAGCCTAGGGAGCCCGGTGGGAACTCCCGCGGGCTCCCAAGGCTTGCGGATAGCTGCCCGAAGCCCGGGGTGCGCTCCGCTGCGCTCCCCAGGTTTTGGGTTGCAGGCTGCTGTCCGCAAGCCTTGGGAGCCTGGTGGGAACTCCCGCGGGCTCCCAAGGCTTGTGGATAGCTTCCTGAAGCCTGGAGAGCAAGAGGGGTTGGTGCGCACCGACCCCTCTCACTCTCCAGGCTTCAGCGAAAGCCTGCATTCGCCCCATCGGATGCACACACATTTCCCCTTCATTTTTGGAGGGGGAAAAGTGCGTCCTAAAGGGCGAAAAATACAGTAATTTGATTCAAACCCAGAAATGGTGGGAATGAGCTGGCGAATCCTCATGACTCTCAAAGAGACACTTCCTGGAGCCCGAAGAGGACATCAGTGAGGGAGGAGGAAGCCCCAAAGAGACAGGAGGCACAGCAGGGCTTTGTTTATGCTGCTCAGCCTCCCCACCTAACAGCTGGTGTGTGGGGTAGCACAGCAGCCTCTTTCTCTCCAGCCCTCCAGCCTCCTACCAGCCCAAGAGCTTCAATTCTAGTTGTGAATATGTTTGGATACAGTGTTTTTGATATGGATTGGAGATAGAGCGGCAGAGAGGGCATTTAAAGGGTGCTCCCCACTTGAGTGATTTTTGTTTATGTGCACGGGGGCCAGGAACACCCCTGTGTAAGGGGGGGGGGACGACGCCTGTATTACAGATGACGGGGGTATACCTGGTACTGGGGATAATGGCATCACTGATGCACAGGAAACTTGGTGATGCTCCAGAAACCTGCTAAGGGGCAGGAAACTACAAGATGGAAGCAGCTGGAGGGAATGACTCGTGGTTTCAGTTGACTATATTAATGAACAGAGTATGAGAAACAAGACAAATCTGAGTTCTTAATGAAGGATGGCAAATATGACCTAATAGGCTTTGCTGAAACCTGGTGGGATGAGATTCATGACTGGAATGTAAAAGTTGAGGGATATAACCTGTTCAAAAGGAATAGACCAAACAGGAAGGGAGGAGTAGCATTATATGTAAAGGATGTGTGCACTTGTGAAGAAATTCACGACCTGGGGCATGGAAGGCAGATTGAGAGTATATAGGTAAAAATCAGAGGAGAGAGAAACTACCGTGATGTTACTGTGGATGTCTGTGACAGATCTCTAAGGCGGACTGAAGACTTGGGTGCCTTCTGGAACAGATTACCAAACATTCAAAATGAGAGATAGAGTTGTCAACTTCCCCAATATCTGTTGAAACTCAAACTGTGCCCAGAATGTAAGATCCCACAAATTCCTCCTTTGCCTCACTGACAATTTCATTTCTCAGAAGGTTGAAAAAGCAACAAGGGGATCATCTATCTTGGACCAACAGGGAGGAACTGATTGAAGAAATGGAAGTACAGGGAATCTTGGAAGGAAGTGATCATGTCCTCTTGGGTGTCATGATACAGAGGCAGGGAAAGCTGAGTGTAGTCAGACATGTACTAGACTTTAAGGAGGTCCATTTCAAAAAGCTCAATGAGCTCCTGGGTGAGACCCCCATGGTCAGAAATTCTCAAGGAGAAGGGAGTCCAAGACGGATGGGAGTTTCTGAAAGGTGAAATCCTGAAGGCCAAAAGGCAGACAATTCCAACAAGAAAGAAAAGTGGGAGGCATCTGAGGAAACCAGTGTGGCTCAGCTTACAGATGAGATGAGAAGGGGAAGAAAGGGGAAATTGTGAAGGAAGATCTTGCAGGGAGAAGGTCAGGTGTACTGGAGTACTGTGTCCAGTTCTGGGCACCACAGTTCAAGAAGGACACTGACAAACTGGAACGTGTCCAGAGGAGGGCAACCAAAATGGTCAAAGGCCTGGAAACGATGCCTTATGAGGAACGGCTAAGGGAGCTGGGCATGTTTAGCCTGGAGAAGAGGAGGTTAAGGGGTGTTATGATAGCCATGTTCAAATATATAAAAGGATGTCACATAGAGGAGGGAGAAAGGTTGTTTTCTGCTGCTCCAGAGAAGCGGACACGGAGCAATGGATCCAAACTACAAGAAAGAAGATTCCACCTAAACATTAGGAAGAACTTCCTGACAGTAAGAGCTGTTTGACAGTGGAATTTGCTGCCAAGGAGTGTGGTGGAGTCTCCTTCTTTGGAGGTCTTTAAGCAGAGGCTTGACAACCATATGTCAGGAGTGCTCTGATGGTGTTTCCTGCTTGGCAGGGGGTTGGACTCGATGGCCCTTGTGGTCTCTTCCAACTCTATGATTCTATGATTCTAGGTGGACTAAAGCTTAGAACAGGCATCCCCAAACTCAGTCCTCCAGCTGTTTTGGGACTACAATTCCCATCATCCCTGACCACTGGTCCTGTTAGCTAGGGATGATGGGAGTTGTAGCCCCAAAACATCTGCAGGGCCAAGTTTGGGGATGCCTGGCTTAGAAGGAGCTCAGGCTTGCAAGTTAAAAATAATTTGGAAAGGTTTCTTCGGCTACGTTCAAAGCAAGAGGAACAAGCAAGCAGTAGGCCGTCTGCATGGAGAAGATGGATAAATGCTACTGGGTCATAGAGAGAAGGTGGGACTGCTCAATATCCACTTTGTCTCTGTCTTCACCCAAAA